GGGCCGGGCCGGGAGGTGGCGGCGGGCAGCAGCCCCTTGCGCGGAGCCCACCGAACGGCTGGCTCCGCCGAGCGTGGGTCCTCGCTTAAAACGGCCATCCGCGCTCCGGGGGGCCGACCTAGCGGCGGTTTCAGCGATGCTTGCCGAATAGCCGGCCAAAACGCCTGTGTGCGAACGCGTAACGCAGAAAGCCATCCAGCAACGAGACGTGCCGGGGCGCGCTGAGGGGCAGCCCCGCTCTTCCAGCGCGGGCTGCGTGTGCGTGGGGACGGGCCAAGCCCTTCCAAGAGGCGTGCTTTCTCCTCCCTCGGGAGGAGGGTTGCTCGCCTCTGGGGAGGAAGCTTGCCGCTCTGCAGACGCGAAGTGTTACCGGGATGCTACCCCGGCGCGGCAAAACGCGGGGGAAACTTCGCTTCTGTGGACACCTCCGTTTCTGTTCAGAAAAACCCCCAAAAACCCCATCGGCACTGGGATGAAATAATCTTCGCAGTAAATAAACAGCAATTAACAGTAAATAAAAACAGCTCAATAAGTTATTTTCCATTATTGCACATCGGGACTTTAGTTTATATAAAAATCTCCATGTCTGCTGTAACCGCTTGAGGTGTGAACTTTGTCCGTGTACGTCAGCAGCTTGGCTTTGCCTCTGGTTAATGTACGGTGTGCAGGGGCAAAATTAAATCGGAGGGAAATCAGGTGGCTCCGTTGCAGTGGCCATGTGATGCGAGATTGTGGTCACACCTGATGTACTTATGATATAGACTTCTTAAATGTAAATAGCTTGTGTATTGAGTATTGATGAAATAAATTATCTAAAAGTTTAAACATTTTTTAAAAGCATGTTAAGACGGTTGGATTAGTCAATCTCTTCTTCAAAAAACCCCTGACTTTTGGAAAATGCCTTATCTTCAGAATTACCCAATAATATTTATACCTTTAGTGTTTTGATTCACATGCCAAAAATTAAATTAATAGGAGCGCACAAATTTATTTGATTATGATTTTTATCAACTTAGACAAATTTAGGCAAGTTCATAAGAACTCAAGTAAGGGATATAATCATAGAGTGATACAGGTTTATGTCTTCAAAGCATCAGTGTTGGTGTCAGGCGACGATATCTGAACTGGGTATAAGAGAACAGTGGCTGAAGTTAGAAGTTGCTGTACTTCAGACTCATGCTACGTGCTAGGTTGATCAGTTGAGCATCTTGTATGTGTTAGCACTGGAGCATCAGGAATGTAATCAACATATGACGATACATTCATACAGTGGAAGGATATTTTCTGTGAACAGCTATATTGATTTCCAATTAGTAAGTGGCAAATCAAAGTACAGACTCGCTAAATAACTTGCCTGAGGTCACTTCAGCGGTCTGTGGCAGAGCTGAAAACAAATTATACAATCTTTGTCAATCCTAATGTGTGATCATATTTTCTCTTGCTTTCTATTCACAGCATTTTTATGAACATAGCTATTTACTTTGTTTACAGAATCAGTAGTTTCCTGAATAAGCTAGAGAGTCACTTGGGCTGCAGAGATGTTGGAAGAAGATATGGAGGTGGCCATCAAAGTGGTGGTAGTAGGAAATGGAGCTGTTGGAAAGTCCAGTATGATTCAGCGATATTGCAAGGGGATTTTTACAAAAGACTACAAGAAAACTATTGGTGTAGATTTCCTGGAAAGACAAATCCAGTATGTATTAAACAGATGCCATACTATTGATTTTTACCTTTTCTTCTATTTCTTTGTTCTCTTGTAATCCTGAGATTTACAAAGGCTTGAAACAAGGCCTGCTGTCTCCAAAGCACAGTAAAGGGAGTTGTTTTCTCTCATGCACAAAGGGCTGAAATTCTATTCCTCTACTTTCTGTGCAAGATATAGAATTATAAATCAAAGCAAAATAAAATTTGGAACCCCTGTTGTACTAAGCTTTTTGACAAGTTTCCTTTGTATTTTACCACCTGTTGATTTTTTTTTTTTTTTTTTTAATTTCTTGTGGAGGAAGTGGAAGTGCTTATGCTAAAATGATTACACAAATTTATTAGCCAATATAGATTAAAATGCCTGTGGCAAAAATAATTAAATATGCTATAGATCCAGTCTCTTTACGTAATATAAGCAGATAATACCCAATTATGTTTGATAATGAGAAGTAAGAAAATTCTGTAAATTTTGTAAGCTGATTAAAAAGACAAAAGGACCATTATTCAGGCACCTAAATTTTGTTTTGAAGTCTATGTTATTTTTTACTTATAGAGGGAAATGTAGAGGAAGAGGAGGAAAGGAGGAGGAAAATGTAATATGGATTGTCAGGAAAGAGCATGTAATATAATTGAGGGACTACTGCCATGACAAGTTACAGAGGTGAACTGTCATCAATATTAAGTTACATTGTATTTAAATTAAGTTAAATTTGAACTGAATTACTGTTATATTTTAGACATAGAAATATTTCCACGTCAGTTGTTCTGAATTGCTCTTGTTCATTGTATTGATTACAAAACCGTGTCGTTTATTTCAGAGTTAATGATGAAGATGTTAGGCTAATGTTATGGGACACTGCGGGTCAAGAAGAATTTGATGCAATAACTAAGGCCTACTATAGAGGTGAAAATACCATATTTGTTATTTGGCAGTTGGGGTTTTTGTGGGTTTGGGGGTTTTTTTTTGGTCTGCACATCTCTTAAGATATTTTCCTATCTCTGTATTAAGAATTTTAGTTATTTCATGTGTGTGCAAGGCATTTTTAGTTCACCTTTTTCAGTTCTTAAATATTTTTCCCCTTCGTGTAAGATCCTTGCCTTAGTTAAGTGTCACTTTGTGCAGGATGCTCAGTCATGCCCTTTTAAAAACGTAGAACAAAATGAGACAAATACCTGCACAGAAACTGCACAGAGTGTAGCCATTCAGACAATCAAACACAAAATTATATTTTTCCCTCTAAAGGTGTTTTCTTATTCTGTAAGACACACATTTGTAAGTGTTCCAAAAACTATGGCTGAGGCACTTAGAAATGAATCCAAGAGAAAAAAAATCCACCAGTCATCCTAGAAAGATAGTTTACTAGGCACAACAGTTCTCCTGCTCGTACAGACTTCCTTGAACACATTAACACAACAGAGTAATAAGGAAAGCCTATTTACTTAATAAACTAGAAACTATAGTATTCAGTCATATACAGGTAGGTTATCTATTTAGCCAGTTACAAGTTGCATACTTAGACTTTCTTTGCATCTAATTTAACAATGGCTGTGAAAATCTTTCCTTTTTGTTTTTTAACATGAGAGATATGGATGACTTGGGAAAGATTCCATCATTCAGTTCTCGTCAAACTAATTACCTGATGGCTGGGAAAAATATATCACTGTGGTATAAAATCTTAGAAAAATTACCTCATTTAGAGATAAACAAAAATGGTTATGTTGTGCTGTTTCAGGCTTGTATAGTCCTCTGACCTTTCTATATTTCATGATCGTTTTGGCAACTAATAGGATTGGGGTTTTTTGTAGTATTTCTGGTTGTCACTTGTAATTGATGATTACCATTTCTTTGGGGAAAGGTCTTTCTTTTCCTATTTCTTTTTATCCTCATGTGAAGTAGATCATTCTGTTATTTTACAGCTGACAACTTGAGCATATGAATTTTAGAAGGTAGTACTTGATTCTCTTGGAGCTTCCTTTTTACTCTCCTGGCCTTCAGTTCTTGTGTGCTTTGCTCTCCTCAGTTGTTCCAAGCCAAAGACTTTCTCTCCTAATTACTGGGACTGATATGCTAAAATATGGAGTCTTCAGAAGAACTTTAAAGTACACTTACTGGCCTCACTTACCATGTATATTGAGTATCTTGAAATCTTGCTCATGACTCGTGCCCAGCATAGTGCAGTTAGATCACTATCTTCAAGATCTTTATACTGAAGAGGCTGCTGTGAAACAGGACATAGTCATCCTGTGGATACATATTGTAGGCAGCATGATGGATATATTAACAGTTCAAGCTATTGGATACAGTGACTGTTCTGCACCAGACTTTGGCTCATGAAGGACAAGGGAAATTATAAAAGCCTGGAATGCAGTTTTGGTTTAGCAGCAGGTCTTGCAAGCACAATATTATAGAAGCAGAAGGTCAAGCTTACTTTGGAAATGTAAGGATTTAATTGCCAATTGCTGATAAGGGGAGGACGCTTCTAAGTTAGGTAAGATAGATGCTGGCTGTTACTTCAATGTCTGCCTCTCCCACAGGTCGCTGTCCTACTGTCATTACACTAGGGCTTACGTACTCTCCTGGAACCTTGTGCATTGTCAGTTCTTCAGGGATCAGCTGCTGATCCGTGGTCACACAATGAATGCTTCAGAGCCTGTTTCTGAGCCCTTCTTGTCCAAGGACCAAATTCATTCAGCCTTGCAGAAAAACAAAATTGTAGCTGACAGTGGATATGTCATGTGGTTTTCTATGTACAGGTGAATATGTGCAGCCAGTGTAGCTGCATGCCCATGATCATACAACGCAAGGAGTCCAGCAGCCTAAATTCAAAGAGTTGAAGGAAGCTCTGTATGTATTTAACATTTCTTTTTTTATATTGTATCGTGCATCTTACCAGTTTCTGTCCGATGGAAGTCACACACTTTCTAATTGGCTAGGTATGTCATTTATATGCTAAGCACATACACAAGTGGCTGTCATTAGCAGCACCATGTGTACTGTCCATGTTACAGATGTTTCTCAAAGCAGTTATTTGACCACTTCTTTGTGCATGCATCCTCTTCCATCCACTACCACTGGTATCTTGAGTAGACCCTTGTTAGGTTTTTGATGGAAAACAGTCATCTTGTTCATTAGTCTGTTATTCAGTTGCTGATTAGTCAAATTCTCAGGATTCTCATTTTGTTGCACAATAGTTAGACTTCGTATTTCTCAAGCCTTCATAGCATTGCTGTAGCTTGCACTTGTCAACCACTTTTGGCTGTAGTAACTGTGATAATGGGAGGGCTGCAAGACTGTTCTGGTCCAATCTAGAGCAAGGCAGCCCTCTTTTGGGTATTGTTAGTGAGACCTTAAACCGTGCTAAGCCTGTTAAAGACATCCAGGATCTGCAGCACTTAGAACATCAACAGTAAACAAGAACTTCTGGATGATGATATCATTTGACCTTGCATTTTATCTCACTTTAAGGTTGAAGGAAACACCATCAATTTTATAGTGCATGTGTGTTTTCTGTCGTAGCCTGAAAAAGCTGAGTGAAAGGGCAGAAGACTGAAACGAATAGGTGCCAAGTATAAAGCCCTGTATGAGTCCACTCATGGCAGGGAATTTCCTTACACATTTTTCTGTTACATAGGCTTTGTACCGTTACAAAAGGAGAAAATACGGTTACGGAGTCTATGAGGATGGGATAGTCTGCTGAGGATCTTGGAGACCTACACAGCTGACAAGTTCATACTCTACTTGAATCAAGTAGAGATGCTAGTACTACTCTTTTATTTTTTTTCTGAATTAGTCTAGGTATGAATATCATACCAGTGATTATGCAGCCAGTTGGAGCCTTTTTAAAATAAAGATATAGAGGTTATCAAAGCAGTAGTTGCACACAAAAAATCCAATGTCCTTTTCTTCAGTACTTTAAAGTAGCTTTATGAAACAGCTTCTTACAAAAGAACTTTGATTTAAAATACTCATCAAGAACATCCTGGTTTTAGCTGTTATGCTCCTGTCAGACACTATCATGTGGCGTTGCTGCTGGTGTCTATTGTTGTACACAATGTGTTGTATGACAGACTCCATTTGCAGTGGATGAGTGAGATAGTAATGTTATTGACTCTCTTGAATACTGTCAGTTGTCACTGCATACAGAAAGGTGTTTCAATGTCTAAATCCTGGCTTTTTTCTTTTTTCTTCTTTTTTTTTTTTCTTTTTCTCCTTAGAGCCCCTACATGGACATGATAATTTCTTAAACTTGTTTATGTTCTCAATAAAAATATTGAGTATTTAGCAATATTCTTAGAAGATTAAAAGAATTTACCTAGTAAGTTCTGCTGCCCTGCAGCATTTTCTGGTGAATTCTGGCTATACTAACTTCTGCACTATACTGAAGCATACTTTCAGAAAGATCACATTTGATATTGTTTTGATTTGAGCATGAGAAGAACACCGCTTTTGTTTTTCTCTTCTTAAATAAGCGTTTTTGCAGGGTTATTGGATTAGTTAGTAAATTCTGACATTTCTTACAATCCAGTGATCAAAACCTTCAGCAGACGTTTGGAAATACGCAATTACATATAGAATATAAGTATAGAATTTGTCATTGTTGATACACAGGTATATTTTTTGATGAGGAAAGACACTTTCACTTACTGTTGTTTGTTAATTTCCTGGTAAGAACCTTTAAATGTCAGAATCTTGAAGGTCCCCAAAAATATTTCAGTCTGATTCCTAATTAGAGCCTATCACACAATTCTCTTTAAAAAGCAACATGGCCACACTGAGTTACTTTTACTGTCCCTGTCCACTGCATTCTACATTTATTATATCTAAATTGAATAAGGAGGTCTGATGTTGTAAGTCACCCCCTTTTTAACTGCCACATGCTAGGACTTTTCCCTCTAAACTTAACTATTACCAAGTTATCTCTGTGTTTTAGCATTCAGAATGAATGGGTGGAAGGAGAGAGATGAAGTGAAAGTGCCATAGGGTGGAGACTTCACAATGAATTTCTTAGTCTTAAAACTGAATAAGGTGATGTTTACAGATGGTGAGAGTCTTGTTATCAATATTCTCATCTTCAGTAGAGAAAAGAACTTGAGAGGCTTTATTAAGCTAGACTGCGAGACAGTAGGTTAAATTCAGCATTGACAAATGCAAAGTAACCTGCTCTGAAAAGAATAATTAATTTTACACCTATGTATCTCACAGGATTCTCAGTGGAATTGCATCAGAAGAATCGCATCTGTTAGAATATGGTTTGGACATTAGGGAAAGCAAACAAAATTTTAGAACGCAAGGAACAGGGAAAATTATGGAAGACTACATTGCTACTGTTTTATTGGTAGAGCTTGATTTAAAATTCTGAGGGCAGTTCTTACTATTCTGTATAAAACCATACCAGAAGGGTCTTAATGGCATGTGAAAGAATGTTAAAGAGCATAGGAAAACTTTATAAACATAGACTGAACTTGGCTTTGAAAAGATAAATAAAAGAACTCGAGTGCTTTGTGTCAAAGAAGTACAAAGACAGAATATCGGATTGGGAGATACTTGGTGAAACTCAGAAATAAAAGAAAATTCATACTGATGAAATAATTTTCATGCTATATGTAATTAGATTGGGATATTTGCCACAAGATAACACTGGAGTCTCAAAGACATTAGCTATCTATTCCTTTTAGACTCTTACTAAATACCAAGTATATTAAAGGCATATAAATAATAAAGTGTTTCTCCATGTGTTTATGTGCAAAGAAAAGTAGTTTATTGAGGATAACAAAGGGCTACTGGACAGTCAGAAGACCACTCACTAATTTTTTGAGTGTGGAAGTACCTTCTCAGTATCCATGGGTTTTAACTATTGTTTGCTAAGGCTGTTACAAAACCATAACAAAAATGGTACAAGACTTTTTGTGTAATTTATCATAGTGCTGTATTAATTAGAAATACACTTATTTTCTCTGAAAAGCTACTAAACAATTTACTTAAAATAATCACAACTTTCTCTGAAAACTCTCTTAAGTTTTCTGCTTTTCAAAATCCGAATTACTGTAGCATAAAGAATAATGTGAAGTGTGCTTTACAGATACTGTGTATGGAAGAATATTTGCCTTCTGGCCTCTGTTAAGCTGTCTGGAAGACAATGAGCAATAAGCAAACCCCCCTTTCCCTTTCTCCAGCCTTTCCACACGCTCCTATTCCTTTCTCCTGCATACATGCACCATGCTGGAAATAGCTTGAAAGGTAACAGACCCATAGCCGTCATGAGGAATGGGTATAATGATCAAATGGCAATCTGTTTTCATTTGGGGAATTTATGACCATGGGTCTGACACAAGCTGGTGGTAAAAGTGCACTTTTATGGGAGAAACTTGAAAAAATCCCTCATGTTTGAACTATATATGAATCTTCTTTTTTTTATATGTTTGCTGGTTGATTTGTGTTTATTTGTATTTGTAATTGATTTGTGTATTTTTAGGAGCCCAGGCTTGTGTTCTTGTGTTTTCTACAACTGACAGAGAGTCCTTCAAAGCAATCCCTACCTGGAAGGAGAAAGTTGTGACTGAAGTTGGAGACATTCCCACAGTTCTGGTGCAGAATAAGATTGATCTTCTTGATGACTCTTGTATAAAGAAGTATGAGTTTTATCTTACGGTTTTTAAAGAACAATATATGTCCCCTGCATACACACGTTTTAAAAAAAAAAATCTATGGGAGTTTCTGGTGAAGACTTAAGATACCTAGGTTGTCAAACCTATGCCCTGCATCAAAACATGCCCTAGAAGCACAGGCAAAAGCTATTGCTGCATGAGTGTTGTTACTTGGGCAGATGTGCTTGCCAAGCTAGGAGCTTTCTGTTTGCTTCACACCTTCTTCTGAAGTGTCAGCCAAAAAGATAGAGGAATAGCATGAAGAGTTTGGTCGTGCCATGATACGATTCTCTCTCTCTCTCTCTTTTTTTTAAAATGAGAAATTCTAAAACTCTAAATTTTCTCTCTTGTTAAAATTTACAGTTATCGTTAAACTATGCTGTGCACCACTGAAGTTACATTGTTCAGTTTGGCTAGTGAATGCTTGCTGAAATGATGAAGAAGTATAAACAGGTTGTTTGAAAAAGTGTCTTTAATGTTCTTTGCTTTGCTTTTCTTTAATTTTTTTCTATTGCTCATTTTTATCAAAACATTGTAACTCTCTAGAAATACGTATCTGTTAATATTCTCAAACTGCATGGTGCTGATCTTTCTTCACTATATTTTTCTTTACAGATTTTACTGTCGGTTCATTCTGCCTTTGTATATATGACCAATTTCATTCTTGCCATAAAATCAGCTTAACAAATGCTAACTTTTATTTACCACAGCATATCATGTAGAAAATACTGCATGATGAAGTTGATCATTCTCCACTTCTTTATTTCTACCATCTTCCTGAGAGATTTAAATTATTGTTTCTTTTTGTTGTTTCCTGCACTGGCTTTCTTTGTTCTCTGTTTGCTATCACTGATGGCATAAATCAGCTTCTACTCCCTCTGCAAAGAATATGGAGGATTTTTCAAAGGAAAAGCAAAATTGCATTTGAATTCCTCCTTTCTTCATGATATGCCACTTAGGTTTTGCTCTCAGAATACTCCATCTCCCTCAGTAACTTCATCTTTCTGATGATGTGATTTGCCTTGGTGAGATTTTCATACGTTTCATCAGCTTTTCCTCAAAATTTAGCCCAAGTTCTCTTTCACATCACAGAAAAAAATAATTCTTGATTTCATCTCTGCACTCATCTGATTTGCATAGTCTACTGCTTCATTAAAATATACTTAAGGATTATTTTTTTATTGTTGTTTTGACTTTGCAGTGGTAATTGTTCTGATTCCAGTGCTGTTAATTACAGCCTCCTCTTTTTTGTTTCACTGACACCTGTTCTTCGAACCCTTGGGAAATTTTAGTTAAGTACTGAAAAGCAATTACTTTTGGTCATAAAGAAACTGCATTTAAATGCCTTCTCGTCATAGTGGAGGTATTGTAAAGAAATTAAGGATCAGGTACTTTTCGACTGAGTTTCTTAACCCACCTTGCCATGTGTAACTTACCACAAAGCATTTTGTCTGTAAAAATAAATGCTGACAAGTAATACAAATCAGTATTTACAAAGTCGTCTTCTGTTGTGCAGTGAAGAGGCGGAAGCACTGGCAAAAAAGCTAAAATTAAGGTTCTACCGAGCATCGGTGAAGGAAGACCTAAACGTAACAGAAGGTACGAGATGCAGCAAAGTAGGTGTCTGTCCTGCCCTCTGCTGTGTAGTACTGTACATCTCTCTAGTTTGGAGCTGATCTCTTACTTCCCATGTTGTTGCATGTTGTGGGCAATCCTTTTTATATTTCTTAGCAGCACACTTTAAACATAGCTAGAATTACTTGATATCAATGTTTTAGGCCCATTTCTTTGTGCACACCTTTCCTTTCTTTTCCACAAACAGTGCATAGCTTCAGTATTTAGAAGTGCCAGTGTGTTAAGGCTGCTTAGTCCTAACGACTGTCAGTAAACACTGAGCTTTTGAAAAAATTGTATGTAGAAGTTCAATTATTACAAAATACAAATTGTGGAACATATTGTTTTGTAATTCTTAATAGTTAATTTTGTATAAACAATTATTTCATAGTTGAGTTATATTTAAATACAGTACATTAAAAGTTTGGGTCTCTTGCAGCCTTTTGTCTACTGGTGATATTTTACTAGTTCCCAAGTACCACTTTTTAATGTATATATTTAATTTCATAAGAGTCCTGTTATAAAAATCAGTCACTATCTTTTGTGGGGTGGGTTTGAATAGTCATGAATTATAGTCTCTGATAACTTTTTGTTTGTTTGTTTCATCAGGCAAACTTAATAGTAAACTAATTGTCTCTTCTCTGTTAACATCATTCACCTTGGAAAAAAATCTGCAAGAGAAAATGTGTGAACATGATACAGAAACATTTTACGAGTTATTAATTACAAGTGTAAATAATCATAACACATCTAGGTTCTCAAAATTCTTCTATAGTTGAATATTTTTTCAGAATCCTAGGTGGTCTTTTTATACACCAGTAAAATGAGGGTAGCATTAATTAATTAGAAAAATGTTGCTGCCAAGTTTTATTAATAGACTTACTTTACATGACTGCTATTATTTTATGGCTTCTTGCAAAAAATACATACATTAAATTCCTACATAACTTTAAAAAGTTCCAAGTTCCATGGATTGGAACATTTGGCAATATGTATGTGCTAGCTTTATTACAGGAGTGTTAAGATGTTTCTGTCTGCTGTGAAAGTCTTCAGTGCTGCGGACTGTAAGACCTGGGTAGACACTGGACTAATCTGGATTCTGCTCAGGTACACAGGCCTGCCGAGAGAGAATCACTTACCAGATCATGCTAAACCTGTGGTGTCGAATGCACTTTTGTCACCATGCAGTATTTCAATACAAAGGTATTATTATTGATATGAAGATTATTTTTAAGCATACTCTGATGTACCTTTTTTCTTTTTAACATTCCAGTTTTTAAGTATTTGGCTGATAAATATCTTCAAAGGCTCAAGCAACAAACAGCTGAAGATCCAGAACTAGTACACACAAGCAGTAACAAGATTGGTATGTATACTGTAATAAAAAAAATAGAAACAGTATTTTGTGCTGTCAAAGCTTATGGTCTCATCTGTTTCCTTGTGGAGTTAGTACAAGGTGAATCAGGGTCTAATTATTACCTTCCTATCTTAGGATATTGTCTCCTTTCCTTCTGTAAAATAACTTTGTGATTCTCTGAAGTTATTGGACTCTCAAACTGATTTACTGAAGTTTCTAGCTAATGTTTGGCAAGTGCCTTTTTATTAAATTCATTTAAACAAACATTGTGTAAGGACTTGAGAATGGATGTTTGTTGGGTTTTTTAATGTAATTAGTATTAGTGTTACTCATCTTGGTGCAGATTTACAAGAGACTCACCATGAAAGAATCTGGCATGTAATCAGAAGGTCTTTGTAAACTGCCTTTTGTAAGGGAACACTGAACTTGTGTAGTCCTTCTTTAAAGCACTTCTGAGTCAGTTCATTTATTTTCCTTAAAGCACTCCCTTTTTATTCAGGCTTTTTCCTTTATCTCAGCAAAGTTTCTAACTTTAAGATTGTCATGTTTTTCTTTTATTATATTACTCAAGTAACCATAACTTTGTTACCATGCAATTAGTAGCATACACATACGCAGGTGAGTGCATATGCTGCCCTTCAATTACACAGATGTATACCAGCTTTAAATACTGCCTGGCTAGTAATTCCAACTGGCTCTACTTCAAATGTAGCTGCAAAATTGACCCAGAAATAGATAAAGCCTTTAAAAACTAAAATATGCATTTGAGGTGCACTACTATGCCTTAGTAAGTGTTGTATCTTAAGTGTTAATGTATTATGCTGCAGGAAGTAAAGAAATACAAATACTTTTCTTGTCTTTAAATTCTGTAGGTGTTTTTAATACAGCTGGTGGAAGTCACTCCAACCAAAATTCTAGCACTCTTAATGGTGGAGATGTCATCAACCTTAGACCAAACAAACAGAGGACCAAGAAAAACAGAAGTCCTTTTAGCAACTGCAGCATACCTTAGACCACTTTTGGAGGAGGAAAAAAAAAAACAACCCAGTGAACTGGATGAAGTTGTGCAATGGAGTACAGATTAAAGCCAGCTGTAGAGGTATTTTTACCAGTGCTTTAGCAAATCTTGTGCCTATGGGATCCTTGATAGAGCATGGATTTACATCAACTTGGCTCATGCAGTGTTTTTTGGTGTGTAGAGTGAGGCACCTGCTGGCAAAACACAGAACTGTGGCTGCCCCGTGCACTTTGTAAAAAATTAGGCAAGCTTCTCCTTTTTCAAGGAATTATTTACAGAGCTATGAACTAGGTATTGCTGAACTGCAAAACACATTTAACATAAGGATAATACTTACAACTGTAGGTACAGACCATAACACTATGGCCCAAGGTAAAGTAGCAACCTTGCAACTAAATTTCAAAGAAGATGTTAGAATTGGTTAGTCAGGACACTAAAAAGATAAATGAAGAGCAAAAAGAAGGCACTACATTTTATGCCTAACTATATTAATATGCATTCTGGCAGTTCTGTTGGTGCAATATACTTGTATTATATATATGAGTGCTAAGGTATATATGTAAACATTTGCTATGAATATTTAGGCTAAATTCCAGTGTATGCATTACTTGGAGATCAGCTAATGATCATAAAATAGCATCTTCAAAAAAAAAGTTTACTTTAAAAATGTTGCATTCCAGATGAGGCTTTCCCAGCTGCCACTGTGTACGTTTAACTTGCTATACTTTGGGCCTAAAAGCTTAGATTTAAAAATGTGTGGTGCCAGAACTGCTCCTTCTTTTTACCTAATGCTGTGCTACGGATGTTTTTGTAAGTTTGTTTTTCTCAGTCTTAACAGGTTGAACAAATAACACAGTCTTTGACACTAACAGCTATTCAGAAGGAACATATAATCACATTCCTGTTCAAATTTAATTGTTGCATCCTGTGTTGTCTATGAAAAAGGAACTTGCAAAGTGGTGTCACAAAATATTTATCTTCTTTGGAAAATCTTTTCATAGATACCATAAACTAAGTTATGGAGGATCCAAAAAAATGCAGCTGATGACTGAATTACACGAACGAGCCTTTCTTGAATGTTGTCTCAGATTCAGAGTTAGCTGCTGGTTACAGAAAATCTAATTCTGCAAGATCAGAGACATGGCAAAAATTTATTGAAGTGCTTAAGTAATTTTACAGAATTGATTTCAATGTTTAGGAGCCCAAATCTAATGTAAAGTTATTTGGACTTAGGCTCCTAAATCACTAAGGTGCTTTTAAAAATGCTAAGCAAGATATCTTTTATTTACCAAAAATAAATACTTTCTAATCCTCTTCAAGAGCATGCATGCCTTTTAAAAAGTATCCATTTTGTTTACATGTTTTTGTATGGTATGATATAATTTTAACTTTCTAGGATTTCTACAACAAACCTGCCAGTGACAAATGCAAAATATGCTGCTTTAAAAAATTCAGAGTTTTAATAGTTTTTTACACGGTGTATGAGAATGAAAATGAGTCGAGTGATCCTGTATATTTTTGGAGGAAGGACTTTTCACTGTGTGAATTCATGTAGGAAGCTTGGCTGACTTTGTTTCTAAGTCAATGAGTGTGAAAACTGAAATGTACTTTTTCCCACTGTCTGCAGGGAGAGAAGTGGGTGGCAAGTTATGCATAAACACTAAAGATCTCTGAACTCTGTATTTTATGTTTACTATATTAGACTTTCTACCAAGTACCATTGTTTCTTTGACAAGCTGTTAGGGCATCTCCTGTTGCTGGCAAGAAGGCGGCCTTCAAGGCACTCAATCCCCTTTGCTAATGCAGCAAAACTGTGTGTTCTTCACCATAATGTTTCCTGTATTTTCTCTTGGATAAAGGCCTTTATTTTTTAACAAGTGCATTTATTTAATCACTGTATGTATGTATAAATGGAGTGAAGTCCTATCTGTCTCAGCAATTTAAGAAGTAAGGTACTTAAGACAAGACTGCCAATTGCACGTGATGGGGTCACCTTACAATTTCAGGATGTAGGATAGAGTGTACGCATGAAGAATTTTGACAACTGTTTTTAATATGGAACCTTTTACATTTCGTCTGTCTGCCGGTTTCATGGTTTTTATTCATTTTTCTTGAAAAAGAAACAAAACCACAAAGTGTCTGAAACATCTTTTTTGCCTTGTTTGTACAGAGTACTGAAAAATAAGTCTTTATTACATATAATGAGCATTTGTACTATTACATGTTAAACTGTAGACATTGTACTATTATGTAAGCCATTTCTATTCAAGGTCTGTCATTATAAACCACTGTTCTAAGGACTGAAAACTCAGTAGAAATTTTCCTAGGTTGAGACTTGACAGACTTGCTAAATGTAGGGTATGTTGAAATTTAGTACACATACTTTAATGTAGAAATATATATTTGTAGCATTGGGTAACAGTTTTCATTTCATTCCCATCTTAAATCTAAAGTTTTTTTGTTGTTGCTTTGTAGTGCTTGTTCTCCAATATGACTTGAGATGGAGACTGTCAAAATCAGCATTCTCCTGGAGCGTGCTCTCCATGTACGGTGCTTGAAAATTTATTTTTTATCCTGCTGGGGTCAGTGTGTAGATGTAAACCAGATGATTTGCATATTGCAGGAGTCCTTAGGTCTTCACCTCCCTCTTCAGTGGGAGTAACTTTCACCTTTTGGATGAAGAGACGTGCCTAAATGTTTAGCACTCACTCGCATTGTCCCTTGTGAATAGTTTTTGACAAACATTGTCCCATTCTCCATTCAAAGCATTCTCATTAAAATACCATATATTTTAGTTACCAAAACCCACAGGTGCAGAGCTGGCAATAAAAATGCTCTTCTCTGTGCATCTCTGTGACTGCATGGCGGGAGCGGATGTGGCTGTCTGTTACACCCGTGGCAGACTGGCATCCTGGATTAGGAGCAACAGATGTTCTGCCACAAGACACGAAGTTTTGTTCTGTGAGACTAAGCTAATTGCACTCCTGTTTTATCTGTTAGTATCTCTTCAATAGCTGATTGGCAGTATTACCTGAATCTTGCCAAAATTCTTTGCTTTCGGCTGATAATGCTACCACTAGCAGAAAACTTCGGTAGTTGTTAATGCCTTAGTGAAATAAAGCCTTCACTAACGAGTATGACGCTAATGCATCTGTCACTCCCATGTTGTATCCATTCAGTGAATGGGTGTTCTCCCAGTAAGCGGGGCATCATTTGATGCAAAGTGGTAATGCCAGGGAGGTATTTACAACTTTGAGATTTGTTATTTCCAGTTGGAAGACTGATCACACAAAGATTTTTGTGCTTGTGTGTGCATGGTTAATTTAAAAAAAAATTTAAATATTCCACTTAAGACAATTTTGGAGCTTTCTTATTTTCAGTGTTTCTTAAGGCAACGCTTACCTTTTTTAGTCAAAATACCAGAATTACCATACTGTCAGTCTGATTTCCTGTTCAACTTTTTTATGCCTCTGTAAAATTTGTGTCGTGTCCCCCCCCCATTATTGGGCTACAGCATACCTGACATAGTTCTCCTTTGCATCACTTCTGTAGATGTACATGATATTAAAGGGAATTGAACAGCTGAACACATTGTACTGCCTGGAGGTTATGCAGCGGTACGTGCATAATACTCAGTGAACATGCACTTTGAACCTGTTAATTTATCTATTCAAGTTGATAGCTACCAGTTAATAACAGAATTAATGATTTGCACTGCAGAACCCTCTTGTGGGAATTCAGTCAAACTAACAAGCATGCTTCTTGGATTCCAGTGACAGTACCTAAGCTCCTACTGCTTTTCTAAAATAAATGTAATCATAGAACTTCAGCTGAAGTTGCAGTACCTGAACACTAATTGTACGTAAACCAGAGAGCAAGCGTGGTCCAACGGGCTTGATTTCATCAAAACTACCTTACCATCTTTTTGTAGGAAGCAACAGTCGTGCGTGTCTTCTTTTAAATGCTCAAATAGTATTGGCAGAAGAAAATACTTCTCTCTGCTACATATTGCATCCAAACAGGTAATCAAAATTGTAGAAAAAAAAATGCAGCAATGCTTAGATTTAAGATGAAAGGTGCTATAATAGAAGAAGAGAAACTTTCAAACAGTTCCATGTGGAAGAAGTGCTCTATATGAGTCATCTCAAAGCCAGGTGAGCCCTAGTACTGAACTAGAGTCACTCTCAGGTTTCTGGTAGTAGGGTAATACTGATAAATAATTTGTGGACTGAGAATTCTTTCTCCTCTAACCGAGATAAATGTGGTTCAGCAGAACCGACGGAAGTTGGTCAAAAAAAGTAAAAATTCTGGACCTGGAGAAATACTGCTGTCATTGTGAGGATGAAGATGCATTGTGACTAATAAATGACTTACTTACTCTTATTTGCAAGTTCATGTGAATCTGAGTGGTTAAAACAGGTAATGTACATAACTGTTTTTATCACCATCATGATCTCAAGTAAATGTAATATATTTTTAGGAAAAAAAAGTCAACTTACCATAAATCCTCAAGTGGAAAAATAAATGTTTAAACCTGAATATTCTGTGTATGCTGTTCCTGTAGAATCCCTACAAGTTAATTCTGCTGCTCTCTTGTAAGTGATGTTAGTTGTATCGTGCAACTTAAACGTTTATTTGATTACTGTTTGGTCTGATGCAGTTCACTGCTTTTTTGTGGTTATATTAAATTGTCAGTGTATTAAATTTCAAAAAATTGCTATAACCCTGTAGCTGTGCAACCTCAATCTGCTGGAGAAACTCGTGTGCCTGATTCTACTCCATGTATTGCGGACAGTTGGGATCCAAGGCACTACATTAGGTACCCTCAAAGGAACAAGTGTGGGCACCCCATTCTAATAGAGATGCTGTTTCTGAGCTCTTGCCTCTGATTTCTTCACCACATAGTTCAAATACAAAGTATGGATTCTGTTCTGCTTTCTGATCATTTTATTTTTCATGATTGGTCTGGCTCATACAGTGACAGGGTTTAATTGAATGGTTGTAGACACTGGAAGTGGCATTGAACTATTACTAATACATCAAAGATGCCTGATGCATTTTCTGAAAAGGTAAATAGTCACTGGTGGGTTTTGTTTGGTTGGGGTTTTTGTTTGTTTTGGCTTTGGTTTTTTTTCTTTTTTAGTAAAACACAACTCAGCATCTGGGTCTGCCTCTTTACCCAGGCATCTCAGGAATCTGGGAAGTAACACACTCCTGCTTCCTCTTGCGTGCAGTTCTGCACACAGAAAACGATTTGCTTGCTTAAGACCCCAATAAGGATTAATTAGCAATGGTTTAGGTAAGAAAAAAATACTGAAATATAAGAAAACTCCTGGTTTTATGGTCATGTATTTTTAGGTGGGAACTGTTTAACTGCAATTAAGTGAAGACCTTGAGAAAACTGAAGCTTTGACACTATCTAGGTGGGGGTTTTTATGTGCTGCGCAGCCGTATCACATTCAGCTTCAGGAAGCTGGCTGGCCATTCAGTGTGGCTTCTGCTGCAAGCCCCCAAGACACCCACTGCAGACGCCTGGGTACTTTCTTGCATCTCTGAGAAAATGTTTCATACTCACAGATGTCCCATTTCCAAGACTGAGGCACAGCCTATTTTATTGCTCGGGAGATAACGGGACCAGAAGGTCACTGTTTTTTCTTACACCTTCTTTGTCCCAGCTGTCTTACGCCTGCTGAGCCTTGCGTACTGTCTTTTGATTATTGACAACAGAGCACTTAAAAAAAGTTAAAAACTTTACTCTGTTCTTTTGTTCATCTCCATCATGTGCATGATGCCAGCTGTGTTTAGCCATTTTGAGTTACTTTAAGATAGCCAGTATGGAACTACAGTAAAAAACCCAAAAGGTAATTTTTTGCTGTGTCTTAACAGCTATGACTGTGTGAAAGAAACTTCCAAGGACAGTAGCACTGCTTTTAAAATTAGGTTGTTTGAATCTATGGGGTCTTTAATGGATGTGGCATGTCAGTATGCAATGTTAAAGCATAGGAGAGGATAGTGATGGCTGTATTGCAGACCTCTGTGGGTCAGATAACACAGAATTCAGGAAGTGGAAAGCAAACAGAAGAAAGAATTTGAAAAATAAACCAGTAATTCAGGTCAAAGTGTCTGATCTACACTATTAACTCATCTGTAGATATGCAGGTTGTGATCACTTCAATTTGTCCTCGAGAACAAAAATGCTTGTACTAGTATAAGTGCTATAAAAAAATAAAAATACTTTTAGCTATTGGTACAATAAAGAAGATTTAAAAAAGAAAACTAAAAACCTTGACACTTTTGGCCTGAATAACCTTATAATGGCCTTAAAAAAATCAACGATTAAAGAAATATTCTAAGCATTAATAAGCCATGTTCAACTTTTAACTATTTCACAGCATGATTTCTGAGAACAACTTATGCCGTATATTATTGTCAAGGGGTTTAATGCTGTTAAATAGCCAGAAGATTTACTGTTTGTTAAAGTTCACAAGGATCTAAAACATACAAAAATAAACCAGTTCTTTCTGAAGTGGAATTACTGTGTTAAGCTCACCAAAATTCTCAGGAACTTTTAACAGTCTCAAAGCTGAAACTTTGTTCTGAAAGCACCTGAAGTGCCATTTCTGTGAATAAAATGCAGTGACGGCAACCTCATAGCTGCTTAGTTGTGACCTTTGGGTGGATGTGTTGCTTTTCATGTCCTCAGTTACAAACTGGAGGTAGCTCGCTGTCTCTGGAAAGTATTGTGATCTACTTACAATTAGTGCCAAATCATTCAAATTATAAATGGTAATGAGTAGGACAGTGTGTTGTTTATGAAAATACCATATACAGTTTATTAATGTCTTTGATTTATTGCCATGATTTGTCTTTTGTCCCCAAAAGTCTGGTTCATACACTATGTATACAGCAGAGAAAAGCTGATATCTCACAATATGACAAAACAACTTTAGTTTAAAAAAAAACCAACAGGAGAATGGAGGAAAGGCTAGATTTTGATGGTTTCTGACAGTTCAGCAGAAGCACAATTACAATTTGCAATAGAGCGGTATCGACTCTACAGGAGAACTGATAGCATCCTTTATTGCCAAAAGAAAATGCCAATGCTACCAAAACCCATTAAATGCTCACACCGCGCAATCAAAGGTACTTTGGTGCGTGTGCATGCGTATATACGTGTGTGCTTGTACAGAGAATTTTTTTCTTAGCTTCTGTGTGGTTTTTATGGAGATTTGCTCATCCTGCGATGCGCCAGAAGTAGCCAGGAGCATAGTTTAATCCTGTTTGCTGTTGCAAGATTGTCGAACAGATGTCTTCTGATGCTCCAACAACGTGATCGACTTTTCAGAATTTTCTAAGTTTCTGAGCAGAGTCTCTAGCCGCCTTTTGATTTTCTTCTGATCCTCAATGGCACATCCAATTACAACAGACTGAAATTTCTGATCGATGGGTCCTGCTGGCACGTCAGATGTGCACGCACCGTAAAGTGACATTAAGCGGATTTTTGCATCTTCCAGATCATCTAGAAGTTTATTGACGATTTCATCAATCATCTTTGTGGCATGCAGCAGGGATTCCTGCTGCTGGGCATTTCGGATGGTTTCTACAGAAACCTCCACAGTGAGGGTGCGGCCCATCAGACGATTAGCAGTCAAATTAAGTTCTTCTCTCTCACCTAAATCGAAAACAATAAAGTATTCTAGATTACAGGCAAATACTTTCCTGTGCAAATCACATCATAGAGACAATCAAAGTGCTACAGCTTTGCAATAAACAAGGTTGGTTTTTTTTAAGCAACAGACAATCAACAAGATTTCCAGGGGCCAGAAATGAGTTTTTTGCATTTGCCCAAGTCCTAGTTATTTCACAGAAGCTAGTGGCTTCTGATTTGAAATGAGGCATTAAGCTCTGCTCAAACTAAGCAATGCTCTTCTGCTGCTGACACAATGCTTGCTGTGTCACCTTAAAGCAAAGCATACAGTATTATCAGGAAACATTATTCATTAACAGAACTGGCATATTAAGGACCTTCTGTGGCACTGTGAGGAAGGGATTTAGACAGTACCCCAGAAGGCCATAAAAACTGATTTCTGACTACCAGACGCAATTAGGACCCATGAAAAAAATGGTTTTCTGTTTTCTGAAAACTTCTTTCCTAAAATATGGACACAACATACTTGACATGTAGACTCTTGAAGAGCCAATAAACCAGCAATGTAAAGCACCTAATATAAAACATACAGATTTAGGGAATATATTTAAAGCCATATGTCACACAACCACAGCAACAACCTTAATGATCAGGTTCTTGTAGGCTGTACACTTTGTAGCATTCGTGCCTGTCCAGTAGTCAAAGCCATTAAAATGCTGGTTTTTCAACTATATTTATTCATCATCATTATCATGAACTTCTCTCCCTCAGCTGAGCTACATTAACCCTGATTTTGAAAATAAATCAGTGAACTGGGTATGGGCTTTCATTTACCCAGCAGTGACATTCATGGTAGACCATCCAGCTGAACAGTAATGTGAGTTTACACGGTCAAGAAAAAGGGGATCCCAGGGTAACGGATGGCCCTTCAATAACCTTAGCTGCCTCCAATGCCTGTACCTTTACCAGCAGGAAGCAATCAAACAGAGCTGCTCCCTAAGGCGCAGGCTGTTTTGACTTTGGGTGAGTTTGGGGGGGTATGGCAAAGCAGCTTCTCACCTTCACTGATGTGCCTCATATCCTGGCTGTTCTGTATATTGTGGATCATTTCTAGCAGGATTTCTTTCTCCTGTTCCATAGCAGACGCTGCGTCACGGAAAGCCTCTACCCTGAACATGGTTAAACCAAACAAAATGTTTAAAAAATAAAATAGCTGTTCACCTATATAGCTGCCAAGAACTGGTTGTTTTTTTTTTAAACTTCAGCTTAAGAAGTACAGTCAGTTCTTAATTATCCATGAGCCAGAGTCTGATTTCATGACCTTCTCCCGTATCTTAACTTCGCTTTTCAAGACTCAATATAATTTTAAAAAACAAACACATGGGGGAAGAAAAAAACCCCAAACAACAGTAATTTCATCAGACTTATACTTACAGTGCTGTTCTATCCTACTCCGCGGTTAGTCTGAATATCCAGAGCCTGACGGTACTACAGCTCTGTAGTGGAAGCCCTGTAGCTAACTAGCAATTATCAGCTCCTTAACTAGAAGAGAAACAGATCGAGTTCCCATCAGGGAACTTGGGGCTGAAGGTTGCAGCTGCAGGGATGGAGGCAGCGAGGGGGCCTGGCCCCTGAGGCCAGCAGCACAGAACCACTGCAACCCACCTGCAAAGCAACAAATGCTCCAGAAAACTCAAATGCCACCTTATAGCTGAACGAGCCCTTTTACGAGGGAGAAAAATGGATGAGAGGGACAAAGCTCACACTTATTAACATGACAAGGGCATCCCTGCCAAGTGGCATGCCTTGGTCGCTGGGAGAAGATGCTGGACCACCTGCCCCCAGTCACTGGTGTTTTCCACAGAGCAATGCTCACCATGATTCACACAGGGCAGAATCTCCTGTGGGAGCAGCTCCTGTTTCTGGGCTTGCAGGGAAGCATGGAACTCGGTTCCTCCTGACACAGGATGCCTACTCCAGTCCTGTTGACTATGCTGAAACTCATATGTGATGTGGCGAGGATAAGGGGAAAGCCCATCGGAAACTGCTCTGCCTGATAACTATTCAGTCTCGGTAAGCTGCAGGGTTGTGTGCCCATAGTCATAGTCTGCCCTCCTCCTCATGGCATAAGGTACAGACCCGTCTGGCTATGGGCAATGTGAAAATGCCATCCTAGAAATATGAGTCCAGTTCCTTAATTCACATTCTATTCCCCGCCATGGTTTTAAGGAGGGGGCTTTTGCATTCAGCCAAGTAATATGGAAAAGCACATTTGGGAACTGCCTACTTTGGAGACCAGGGACAAGAGGGAAACATCCCCCTCCCTTGGCTTTGCCCTGGAGGATTGAGGATAGGGGCTCACAGAGGACTTGCCAAGTTGCAACCGACTGCAAGAGTTGCGTCAAAAAACATCAACTCTGCATTCCCAGACCCCACAGAAAAGCAGTTTATCACATGAACCTGGCTGACGGTTTCAGATGCTTTCAATGTGCAGCTCAGGAGGTCTAGCTGCTGTAAGCAGCATGGGAATCCATCTATCCTGAAATGTTTCTTAAACCTGGGCAGAAAAGGGGAAACAAACCAAAACACTGTTAAGTCTCTTGGATGCTCTGTGCTCTTCAACATTACTGGACACAGCCTTGAGACGGTGGTGGCTCACTGCTGCTTCTGCAGACAAGGGCTTATCTCTTGACATAGGCAGGGAGCTCCCGCTCCCTCCTCAAAGGCTGGCTGAGGGCAGGTAACTTCGAAAAAATGGCAGGAAGAGAAAGGAGGGTGAAAGAAGGCAGAACGGGAGCATTTGAGGATATATTGCTTCACATGCAGCCTGCTCACAAAATGGTTCTGTTTTACAAAATATTTAGCCTAATCTAGTCAGTGAAAACACAAGCTTTGAGCCTTGCCTTTAATGTTCGTTCTGAGGAGGAGTGGGAAAAGTTAATGCAATGCAAATTCTTGCCGAGAGCAAATACTTTTAATTATTATTTTGGACAGGTTAGTAAGAGCAATGAGGTAGGTGGAGTCATTTCATACTTCAGATGTCTGCACTTTATAATTTAGGAAGTCTAGCAATATTTTCATAAATGCCTCACCGTGCCTTTTTAAAAAACTAGTATTTCCACAATTTAAAAAATGCATTGTGGTCACTGGAAAGCTTAAAATTAAAATTTGGAAGTAGAGAATTTCAATTTTAATAGTGTTTTTAAATTGGATTTGTTATATCATTGTATTGACTTAAAAACTAAAGGTCTGCCTTCAGCAGATGGATCAATCCGTGATTTCCACAGGCTTTGCTGGGTCCTATGAAGAATGTAGAAAAACTGCATTGCAGAGATGCATCCTGAATTGGTGTGATTCTAAAGAGAGTGCCTAAAACATCACTGCTTCCAAAAGCCAGCTACTGGCGTGCGAGGTAGGACCTAAAAGCCAAATGATGAGAATTAATGATTGTATACTGCACAAGCCCCCCCATAATTTACCAATTAAGAGCCTCAATTGACATTATTTTACAGAAAGTCATATAACCAAATCTTGAGAACTATTTTATTTGCAATAATTGCTTCTTGGGAATTATTTCAACCACTTTTTCGACTGCAATAGAGAGTGCCACACAACTAAAATCCACCAGGATTTTAATTTTAGTGTATTTGCTTCCATAAACAGCAGTCAAAATGATCGCCTACCCTGGCACCACATAACGGCAGGGGAAGGAGGCACAGCAGCTCCTGCCACCCGGGCAAAGGGACAGGAAAGCAGCACTTCCAGGGCTCCCCCACCCCTCTACTATCCCTTCTGAAAACTTCCATCTTGACCAATTATTAGCAGTGTGATGGGACTAAATAAGCCTAAAAACCAAACTACTCGCGTTTCGGAGACCTCTTGAAGGCAGGGTGGAGGCACGGTGTGGTAACACAGCACATTGGCAGCAAAGGCAGCATCTGAGCAGCCAGCCAGACAGGTGGTGGGAGTGAGACCCTCGAACAGAAGATGGGGGAAACGGCCCAAGAAAGGCCAGACAAGGGAGCAGGGGCAACGGCCAGCTGTTGCTGCTAGGGACCTGGACTTCACGGCAGTCAAAACAACAGTATAGGATCATTTCAGAACAGGTCTCTAGGGGGAAAAGAACAAAAACCAAGGAAACCACTCACACCGGCCTCAGGAAAACAGGTAAGTGCTCCAGAGAAGATGCTGGGGGGCTTCATCCAGGCGAGACACCTCCCACCACCTAGCCCTATTTGGCCGCCCCAGCTTATACCGAGGCCCCCAGCCGCCTGCCCCCACGCTGGGGTGGGTGCCGCTGGCTGCTCCCGGCCCCCAGGCCACAGCCCTGGAGAGACCCCGGCCCCGGCAGGGACTGCATCCCTGTCCCTCCTTACTCGCTGCTAGAGCCATCAGGTCCACACCTCGCGGTCAGCTCTCGTAACTTCTTTCCCAAAATGTGCTTTAACTTCATAGGTTTGCGTAAATCTTTACTTTGTTGGGGTGGGGGACAAAAAAAAAGATCGGAAGAGATAACCCTCTAGCAGAGGTGACTGCTGTGGAAAAGGGGTGGAAACACAGTCCAAGTCTCAAAAAACCAACGAACCAAAGAACAGAAGGCAAATAAAAGAGAGCAGAAAATATTCATATTTATGCCCAGCTGTCAATTATCTCAATACAGCAGTACAGTCTTTTTCTACCAGATGAAAACATCCAATCGTATTTGTACTTGGAGTGTATTTGTCGCTTTGAACAGCAACTAAATATTCCATCCATTACCTAAGACTTAAAAAACATTCCTTACTTCTGATTTTCCCCAGTCCGAGAGCGATTAGCCATGCAGTGCCTTTCTTTCCTACATACCATCTACATGAGCAGAGCATTCCCCTGAGGAACAGGTGGACCAGCCTGTGCTTTTGTTTCCAGATGAGAAACTGGATACCCACTTTCTTACGACAGCTGCAAAAACTCTGTCCTTTAAACTACTGACTGACTTAAATAGCTCCCTATTAAAGCTTGCGCGCTGGAAGTGCAGATAAGTTTTCAAAGGAAATCAGAAATGTCTGAAGACAGTGCAGCTTTTTTCCTGGAAGAGAGCTGAGCACACTGGACAGAGACAGAGCAGGGGGGGTCACCCCAGCATCCTCAGCTGCTTAAACTGAGTTTCCATTCTCAGGTGAGCAGTCCAATGAACACAGAAATGAATGGTGGGGTAATATGGTTGTTCCGAAGGAGAACAGGAAAAAAAAAGTACAAAAAATTAAGATTACAAAAAAACCCACAACGCCCAAGAGTCTGACATATCTCATGTACCATTAGACCTAGGACTGCATGTGCACTTAACACAACCACCAGAACACAGTGACTCATAAACAGAGACTCTGGTCCCGCTTCCAGCTGCTCCTGAGATGTCTTGGCAGTCACCGGCAGCCAGGGCAACACAAAGGCCCAAGCCCTTACAAGGGACAAACGTGCCACCCGCCCCCCTTGCCACCCCTGCCGGGGGGCTCACTCCCTGGCAGCCAAATTACTCCCCCTTTCCCATTCACTTTCCCTACAGAAGAAAGCCCCTCCACAAACACCTAGCAGGGAAGTACAAAAATACGCCGTTCCTGTCGGAAAAGCAGCTCTCGCGATGGAAGGGAAGGGAGAAGAGGGAAAGCTGTTCAAACCAGAGCATTTCCGATGGGATGAGAGTTGCCATGGGGTTCGGGCAACCTTAAGCAACTTGAGAACGGAGGATTGTCGAGGAGTTTAATTAAAGGGTGTAGTTCACTTTGACAAATTTTCACTTATTATATTTACAAGCAACATCTCAAGGGTCTATAGCTAAACTAAACTGGCTGCAGAAGGAAGAAGTGTGGAAGCTCTTCCTCTCCTGTCACTCAAATAACTTTGAAATGAGGCATGCTGTTTAGTTGTATATGGAAAAAAAATAAGACTTCAGTGACTTTAATTGAAGTAGTTTGACTCTTTTTTTGTAACTGTTCCGCATTTAGAACTATGCCTGTTTGAAAGACCCACAGCAACCTGGGAAGTTTAATTTGGGGCTTAATTTCTGGTTAACCAAACTGTCTGCTTTGTTTCAGAGTTGCTCAGCAAATTTAGAACACCTTTTTGCATACTCTGATGCTCATTTTGTGATTATATATTCACATGCTAGACCTGGAGGTGAGCAGCGAGACCTGTTTGCAGACAGTGATTTTGTTTAGTCAAATTCAGAGAAGTCTGCAAAGGACTTCAAGGAGA